TTTTATTATTATTTGATTTCTGATTGTTGTTTTTGCTAGGAAAGGGATACTTCGGAATCAGAATTACATGATGTAAGGAAGAAACCAAACCCCTGTGAGAAACAAAGAGGGTTAAAAAAGTAAACTAAAGACATGAAAACATCCATGTGTGAGCACAAAAACAAACACATCCCTCCAGCCCAAACTCTAACAAAGCAACTGCTTCAGGAAACAAATTATCAGCACATACCTGCCACACCCATGGGTGCCATTATCTTAGGGTAATCAGACCTCTCTGCCCTTTACAGTGCATGGTTTAAGAGTGTAATGTGAGAGAAGAAGGGGAATAATAGAACATACTCAATGTCCACTATAGCAAAGTTCTAAGAAAGTCAACTTCCAAAAGGACTCCTGGTCAGAAAATTAAAAAGCAACACCAATAGGCATCTGTAAAAATGCCCCTACTCTGGCATCGTTAGTGAATTTCTCGGTTTTTCTGAAAACATGCTTCAAAACAAGGACTCCCACTGGAATAGCAGGCACTTCCACTGTGTTTGTACTCCATCCAGGTACACCTCTGGCAGATGTCATCAGGGCAGAGAGCAAACACCAGGCCAATCTTTTTCTGCTAATTACGGAACAACACAGCCCTGGAGAGGCACCTACTTCCAACCCCCATACAAATCACGTAGCAACATAAGTGTGTCACTTGAGAGTCTGTCAAAAACGAAGACAGAACTTAGGACTGTTAATGTGTTGGGTTTTTCCCCCCCCCACATCTCCTAAAATCCCCCACCCAACATAGCAGCCATGTTGACTCTGAGATTCTGGGAGTTGCAGGCCAAGATGATGATGATGATATAATTTTAGAATTGCAGAGCTGAAAAGGACTCTGTAGATCATTGAGTCCTGCCCCTGTCAAGGAGTCATCATGAGAACTCTTAACCTCTGGCTCCGCAGCCAGGTAACTAAACTGTACATGATCTGCTTTCCAGTGAATAGTGAATACTGTATTCTCTTTGATAATTTAATTTTTAAAGTTAGTGTTATCTTTCTCTGGTAGGTGAGAAGAAGGAGAGGGGAACAGAACATGCAGCTGAAACATACTTCTTCCCACCTACCAGAGGAAGATAACACTAACTTTAAAAATTAAATTATCAAATAGAGTACAGTATTCACTATTCACAGTTAAACAACTGCAACTTAACATGAGGTGAACTGACATAATTATAATCATTGTATGGATTGCGACACTTTAAATAATTCAACAGTTTCATTAATTTTTTTTCTTCAGCAGAATCGTATCTAAAATTAATTCTCCTTAAGCCAAGAACAAACAGAATACAAACAAGCATTCCGCATTAACTGGTACAGAGCAGCACGCAAGAAACAGTGTTCATTTCCAAGACTCTTAGACAAACAACTCGTGATAGATAACCCCAAAATGTTGCATTCATGAGTCGATTCATTGGAAAGGATAGTAACAGGAAAGCAGCAAGGTTCAAGTATGCTCAACTAATACTCCCGTGGAATGAGAAATTTGCCACCCAAAGCAAAGTACTGTACAGGCAACACTCTCTCTCCATGCCATAAACAGAAGTTGGTTAGACTGACAGTTAAAACATGAGAGAGGGGGTGTTTTAAAGTTGACTATCTCATTTACTCAATTTTATAGGAAAATTCACTTCAAGAAATATTTCACAGGAGAAGAAATCAAATCAATTTCTCATGATTCAAGCTTCTTACGCAGTACGTAAAATTGCTTACAATGTGTGTGTCTTGTCTTTGCTTGTATGATCATCCCTGTGACAGTTGGCAGGTTGCCCAGGTTCCAACAATTTAATTAAAGCCTGTGGGGGAGATGTCTTAAGGTAACACATCCCATAGGGCTTTTTTAAATCAGGAAGTGTGGGCCACTAGGGAAGCCGCAGAGTGATGAGATGTCCATAATAAAAAGATTTTTTTAAAAAAAAATGCATCGCTTGGAGCCACTTTGCAACTTTACAGTAAGCTCAGAAATATCATTAAAGCCAATTCTAGGTAGAATGAAGGAGCCTTTTTCATGGAGAAATAAAACTTGTGAGAAGGTGATGATAAGTTAGGCCCAGTATAGGCTTCAGTTTTTTCTCCTGGTACTGCGGTGATAATGAAAGCTGCTATGTAGATTCCTGGTCTTGGCTGCAAGTGTCAGAAACGTGTCCATGGGAATTATGGGAGCTGCAGTCCAAAAAACCTGAAAGACCTATTTTTTAAATAGGATCATTTAACTGTGCTTCCCAGGAATGAGGCCAGTCCATCATTTCAGTCATACATGGATGATGGAAGGTGTCCTGCAACTTTATTGGGAGAAAGGCAGCTTATAAATAAACAAAAGGAACAAATAATAAATATGACCTTGGACAAGCTATGCAGTCCCAGAGTACCACTAGAAAGAGGGACTGATAAATAACTTCTGGATAGGTTATTTCTGGAAAGACCCATGAGGATTGCCATAAATCAGAATCATGTTAATCACATAATTATTAATCATAAAAATCTGTATTACAGTTACCTCTCACATCTCAGATCAAAGTTCTTTTCAAGTGACGAAAGGAGGCTTACAGTTAAAGATCAATATCATGTCGGCAAGTATATGTACATTATTGCACAGGAATGCAGCAAATTATATATTGTGCAGCAGAGCAAATCAACATTGTATAAGCCAATTGTAAAAAAAAAATGGGTGCAGTCCAAACAAAAATTTTATGATTTTGAAACTGGACTTTGAAGTAAGTCTGTCACATTCACAGTTGCTGAAAAATAGCACTGACAACTGCTTTGTGTTTGTGTGATGAAAACAGGAGTCAGCTTCTGGGATTTTCCCTGGTGTGGTGTCAATTTGTGAATGGTAGTGAGCACAAGAGGTTATTCTGTAGATCATCTTGACTGCTGCCTTTGGTGTTATCAGTGTTCAGGCTGTCCTCTGCTATGTAAAGCCTGGCATCCTTTTTCCTGTAGGCAACACAGGTATGATATTGTGCAGCAGTATCTGGTCACTTCCTGGTGTTTAGAATTGTGGATACAGAAGCACGATATCCTATATTCATAAAGCAGAGAATGGTTTGGGTTGGTGGGTTTTTGAAGAACTGAATATTCTTTATAGACACATTGGGCAAAATCCTGTTACACCCAGCAATAAGGAACTGCTCAGTTAAATCTCATGTGCAACCAAATGCAGAATGGCCTAGCAGATGTGCATTGTAGATACCAATTCCATCTCAAAGGTATTGTAAGTACTGTGACCACAACACATAGTTAACAGAACAGGATTTTGTCCATTGATCCTTTTACCACAGTCTATTCAACATGGAGTGGTCCATTTGATGAAGTCTGCCAGGTAACTTATTTTTGTGTCTAGAAGGAGATCCAGAAATTATATGCTGATAGCATCTGTCAGGGCCAAATACACCACTCCCAGCAAATGCACACTTTATACCCATTTAGAAAAGTTGCTTCTGGAAGAGGCAAAGGGAAAGAATTTCCAAATAAGTGATGACTAACCTCTCCCTCCGTACCATTTCCCTTCTTTAAATCATCTCTCCCCCCATAGCTTTTGCCTTTCTTCTCACAAAGACTATTAAAGCAGCCTATACAGCGAAGTTTCTGTATAATCTGTTATGGCCAGATCATTATTTTATTTTAGTTTATTTTATTTTAAAGACTGTTCCCTCCCCCAGTTATTTTATTACATGTTAAAATTGAAATGGTTGCAAAGTGGAGCACTTCCACTGCTAAAACACAACTAAAAGTTTGTAGTTGTAAATAAGTGTACCTTGGCTCAACGATCTCTGACACCCTCTCTCTAGATGTCGAGCTGGATAAACGCATTGGCAAAGCAGCTACCATGTTCTCTAGACTCACAAAGAGAGTATGGCTCAATAAGAAGCTGAT